AAATGGACCTAGGAGATGCAATCTCAGTCAAGGAACTCTGTAAAAAAATGTTGTGATCAAATGAAATGGGCCACTGCTTGGAGGTGGGAGAAAGTTTGTAATTCTGTTTAAAAACCTCATGTTTTTATTTCTGTATGGGGCAGCTATGTAGGTGTTACAGTTAAGGCTGACCTAGTTTGCTCAAGGAACAATATTTACAGGCTGAAAAAAGAAATAGTGGTCTCTGATCCATAGAGAGTGGTAGAATACCATAACTTTATATCCATATGCATGAAGATGCCTGATGAATACACTTATAGATGAACATGTGTTAAGTGAAAAAAGGCAAAAATGTACAGATGTGACTCTACCTGTGAATGGGCAATGGATTATACATACTTTTACAGGTTTTTTCCCCTCATATATAGAATGCAGTATCTATGCAAACACGAACCAAATAGGATGTATGAATTCATATTGGAATTCATCTAATACTTCAAGACTATTAGGCAGTAACCTATAATTAGAGAACATCTCTCAATTAGCAAGTCAAAAAAGGTAAATTATATGAGAAAGGGAAGGCCTTGAGCTACATTGGAGACACAGAAAAATGTGTGTTTATTATATTTCAGAGAACTAGTTTTCTGTTGACTAGTTGGTCAATAGTGTAAAACCTAAAATAATGAACAGGATAATAATTGAAATTCATCAGTGCCTGGAATCCTACTAAACATCAGCAAAGCATAATAAAATAATATACAGTGCAAACATAAAAGCAACCACAGGCTTACATCTGTTCTAAAAATTATCTATCACATTCTTTTCTATAGACTGTAATGCTTTGCTTTTTATTGCAAATGTAAATATTATCTTAGCTCTTCAGAGCACCTATTTGTTTGCCTGTAGCAGAAGCAAGCAATATTCTGGCAGTAAGTAGTCAAAAGGACAAACTTTTTTTTTCTGCATGAGTATGTGATCATGATAACTATATGGATAAGCCTAAGATTTCCTGGAATCTGATCTGATGTGGAATATAGGTTCTCTCTCTCTCTCTCTCTCTCTCTCTCTTCTACTCTCTCTCTCTCTCTCTCTCTCTCTCTCTCTTTCCCTATGACTGACACATCTACCTTTGAAAATTTCCACTTGGAAATCTGGGAATTACAAGAAAAGGGTTTGGGTCCATTACAATATACTTCTGATGAACCTGTTTGCACTGGCTGGGAATACTGAGTACTGAGTACTGCAGTCTCAAACCTAGAATATTTCAGATTAGGTTGATCAAGTACAGCAAAACCTTTCCCCACCATGAGAAAGAAAGGAGAAAGGTCAGGAATTAGATGATCAGGAAAGCTGTGGGGGAGTGCTTGAGGTTGATAGTGCAATTCTCGAAAACTTGAAAGTTCATAGCCTCCATGGGGATCCCAGGTTTGTCCACGCTGACCTCTGGCTTGACATATTAAAGAAGCATATGCTAGAGCTTGGTTTTGCCTCAGAACAGATGTTAGAATCTGTGGATACGGAGAGCTTTATACTCAGACCTTGATTGTTTCCCAGATCAGCTAAAACTGATTCTATCCAAAATCTCCACTGGGGAAATGGGCCGATTTAGACATCTCGTCCACGTACAGTATCTGATGCATTTGTATGTGGACACTTGGGAAGTTTTCTAGCAAGCCACTGGGGGCCCTTGCCTCTCTTGTTTGTTTGTTTGTTTGTTTGTTTGTTTGTTTCCTAGGCACCATTTATTCCTCTCATTCTCCTCATTCAACCACATATTCCTTTATAGGTTAGTTGCTGATTAAAAGATGACTCGGGCTCTTGAGATAATTGTTCCTAAGTAGCATCTGTTTTACCAAGCCCAGATGTTTCCTTGGTTTACTGTGGAGGTCTGGAAGGTGAAACAGTGCCTAGAGCACTAGTGGAACAAGATTAAAAGTGAATCTGACTGAAGCCATGTACAAACTCAAGTATAATAAGGAAGATAAAGTTGTACGTTTCCTTAATTATCACTATCACCATGCTGTCAGCTGGTGTATCTTGTTTAAAGTGAGCAATTTCTTTTGGAAAATAATGTACAGCAGGGGGGACCCCATAGATTGTGGCCCACCTCTGGGCCTTGAGCCATTTGGAATTGGGCTGAGGAAGTGATGGGTGAGTGCATGCACATCCCCACTTGTGTAAACAGTGAGTGAGTTTGTGCGCTCCATTTACATGAGTCATAAGTGCATGTGTCCACCACTCACACAAATGGAGCTGTGTGCACACAAATACTTGTCCACCACTTGCACAGAATTATCCCCTCCCTCTTCCACCCCTCACCCCTGCTAATCTGCAAAGCCAAAAAGGTTGGGGAACATACAGCCATTCACTGGGTAGCTACGACCATTCTGAACAACAAAGTTGCCCAAATTCATCAGTGGTTATCATTGGAACAACATCGTGTCATGTTAGCTAGGTCTCCTTTTGGCCTATGGCTTCCAATGAAATAGTGTGTTCTACTATGATTCTACATTTGTAGGCTAGATTCACTCCCATCTTGGATTCTAAGTGGGATCAGAACAGTGTGTGAGCTGAGATCTGGGAGGTAGCCTCATTTCAAGTGGTGGTGCTTTCTGCAGCCTTAATGAGGCTGTAATATGGTTCCTTCTCTATTCCAGAGCCTCATTAAGGCTCAGATACAAACATCCTGGAACAAACTGTTGATGGTCCTCCATATAAAGGGGACTTTGGGGCTCAGTTTTTAAGTGTTTTTTTTAAAATTCTATATAGCCCTTATATGGCTTGGTGCTGAAGTAATTCCAGGAAACGTCTTCCATTCCTCTATGTCTGGTACACATACCTTCAAATAAACAACTTGTTTTCCACAAAATAAGGGGAGACTATAGCTGGGGTGGCTTTTCTTGTTAATGGCCTTGCTTTGAAACAGTCTTCCCATGGAGATTTTGTTGTTAGTTGCGAAGTTGTGTCATATCCGATCCATCGCAACCCATGGACAACGTTCCTCCAGGCCTTTCTATCCTCTACCATTTTCTGGAGTCCATTTAAGCTCATGCTTACTGCTTCAGTGACTCCATCCAAACACCTCATTCTCTGTCATCCCTTTTTTCTTTTGCCCTCAATCTTTCCAGCATTAGGCTCTTTTCCACCACTTCTCATTAGGTGGCCAAAGTATTTGAGTTTCATCTTCAGGATCTGGCCTTCTAAAAAGCAGTCAGGGTTGGTCTCCTCTAGGACTGACCTGTTTGATTGCCTTGCAGTCCAAGGGACTCTCAGGAGTCTTCTCCAGCATCATAGTTCAAAGATCTCAATTCTTTGGCGCTCAGCCTTTCTTACGGTCCAACTTTTATAGCCATATATTGCAACTGGGAAACCATAGCCTTGACTATACAAACTTTTGTTGGCAGAGCGATGTCTCTGCTTGTTAGTATGCTGTCTAGATTTGCCATAATTTCTCTCCCCAGGAGCAAGCATCTTTGAATTTCTTGGCTGCACTCCCCATCTGCGGTGATGTTGGAGCCCAGGAAAATAAAATCTGTCACTACCTCCATTTCTTTCCCATCTATTTGCTAGGAATTGAGAGGGCCAGATGCCATAATCTTAGTTTTCTTAATGTCGAGTTTCAAGCCAACTTTTGCACTCCTTTTTCACCTGCATCAAGAGGATCTTTAGTTCCACTTCACTTTCTGTCATTAGAGTGGTATCATCTGCATATCTAAGGTTCCAGTAATACAATACAATAACAGAGTTGGAAAGGACCTTGGAGGTCTTCTAGTCCAACCCCCTGCCTAGGCAGTAAACCCTATACCATTTCAGGTTGTTGATATTTCTCCTGGCAATCTTAATTCCAATTTTTGATTCATCTAGCCTTGCCTTCCTCATGATGTGCTCTGCATATAAGTTAAATAGACAGGGTGACAGTATACAGCCTTGCTGGACTCCTTTCCCAATTTTGAACCAATCAGTGGTTCCATGTTCTCACTGTTGCTTCTTGACCCACATATAGGCTTCTCAAGAGACAAATAAGATGGTCTGGTACTCACATCTCTTTAAGAACTTGCTATAATTTGTTGTGATCCATACAATCAAAGGCTTTAGCATAGTTAATGAAACCAAAGTAGATGCCTTTCTGGAACTTCCTAGCTTTCTCCATGACCCAATATATGTTGGCAATTTGATCTCTAGTTCCTCGGTCTCTTCCAAATCCTGGCTGTACTTCTGGTAGTTCTCGGTCTATATACTGCTGGAGCCTAGCTTAGCTTAGCATAGGATTTTGAGCATATTTTTTCTAGCATGTGAAATGAGTGCAATGGAGATTAGCTCCTATAGAAATAAACTTTCAGAAGATTTTAATACAGAGATCTTCCAGAGCTTTGGCAGACTCATAGATGGTTCCAGCAGGTTGTTGGCCTGTTTACCTCTTTGCTATTGAGTTGTTGTTGTTTTTCCACTGAATGTATTATTGTAAATTTGTTTCTTTGTTTCTGTCTCATGTTGACTCCTGATATCTGCCTGGATGCATTTCTGCAGGGATTTTTTTGGGCAAGATTTTACAAGTGGTAAAATCTAAGGCTGAGAATGATTGGTCATCTAACTCATTTTGGGCTGGAATGATAGTCTCCCAGTTTCTTGCAGGGTGCTTTAACCACTACACCAAGCTGGTTCTCTTAATATTTTGTACTATGGATATTTTAATTGTACTGTTCTGTTGCATGCCACTGAGCATCTAATACAGTTATTAGTGGGATAGAAACCTATTTATTTATTCCACTAACATTATACTTTTCATTCAAGGGTAGAACAGTATGCATTATGCTCTGTCTTCCTGTTTTTCTCCGGAACATCAATCCTGTGATGTAGCACAGGATTGCTTGTTGGATAAATAAACAAAATATTAAACAAATTCTATTGCACAGGCATTGTACAATACCATAGCTTCCTTTTTGCATTCTTTTTTTGCTTAGAAGTGGAATTGTGGTTGAACTGCATAAAATGACACACTATTTCTCATCTTTTCTTGGCAGGTCATTATGGAAAGGATATTTATCGAAGTGGAGGTCCAGATTTCCATAATTTCATCTCTTCTGGGTTTGTCACATTAGGAAGAGGACACAACAAGGGTACAGTGGAAACTATTTTTTGTTGAATAGAAAATATATGCTTGAGAACAGTCTCTCACTTGAAAGTTTTGTTATGTATGACATCAGATAACAGTATTAGTGTGGAAAATCATAGGCTTATGCCAGAACATAGTGCTGCAAGTTTAATAAAGTGTTAACAGTGGCCTTTTAATCCTATGGAAGGAGACATGGAATGAGCATCTGGAGAAGGTTCCAGAACGGCAGAAAGACAGGTGGACTGAGCTACATGAATGGAAACCTCCTGTCTTGCTACCATTTGCCAATGAAACAGAAAGATACATAAAGTTACTATGGGATAAAATGGTGACACTACTCCCAAAGTGGGATGCTATTATTAGAATGCGGAACATTTGATTTAAAGCTGCATACATAAATATATCTACCCCTTTGGTGTGCTTATACCACACCTAGAGAAAAAACAATCTGTATTGTGGTCTAATCTAATAAAAACACCTCTTTTACCTACTGAAAAAAGTAGGAATTGCACAATAAGACAAAAAGCTCACAATTCCCATAGGTATGTTATGCAAATGTATAAGTTTGCAAACAAGCCCAAAGGTACTTCCAAGCAATGCAGTTAAGCCTGGGAGTGGGACTGACCTTTGCCTTCTTTGGATTTCAGTAGAAAGCAATTTGGTGATCGGTCTGGCTAAAGATCTTGGGAATTTCATTTTGTTGTGCCTAGTTTTATTCCCCTTTGGAATATGTTGCTTCTTGGTGCTCATACATGAATCTTGAGAACCTTCTGTATTTTATTTGTTCTTTGCTTATTGTATGTTGGAATCTGGACTGCATAAACCTAACTGTAGAGTGAAAATGGATTTGTGGTCCTGCCACATAATGGCTCACTGAACTGAATCACTTTTGCATCTCCTCTACATTTTTCTCTCCAAAATTTGTGTGAGATTCTTAAAGAGATGCTCATTATTGTTTGTGCCATAAAGCTACTGGTCACATTATTCACAATTTCTATTGAATTTGCATCAGCATATTCAGTATAACAAGAGTGCATTGTATTTAAATATTTATCCTTCCCACACATATAATATTGTAAGCATTTTATAAAGTGATTTCCTTAAGGGTCATGCATTTTTGTCTGTCTACCTAATCTGTGAGGTGTGGGTGTGTGTGTGTGTGTGTGTGTGTAAGAGAGAGAGAGAGAGAGAGAATGCACATAGACATACTCATTATTGTACAAATCTGAAAAACATGTCAATATCCATATCCTGCACTGTGTATGTTCTGTGTAACATAATGTATATGCAGTACAATGCTGGGTGTGCTGATGTGGTGATGTAATAGCAAATGATATCTACCATAACCATCTAGCAATTATGATGACCCTCATAACTGATATACAGGAGCATCTTGCTACCCAAACCAGGATGGCTCTTTAAAAATCACACTGGTGTCTATTTGGGTGAATTTCTAATGAAGTATATATCAAGACCTTTTTTAATTTATAGGGGGATGGAGTTGTGTACATTTTATTGCTTTCAGACTGTTGAAGAATGAGCCAACTTCCTAGAAAGATTTGAGGGGAGAGAGGGAAAGTCCTAGTAGGGCTGGACCACTCATTGGATTTGATGAACAGATTCCAAACTAGTTAACTGACAAGTCTTTTTGGGGATTTGCCTCACTCTATGGCACATTAGTGCACTAAAGGGCAGGCTTAAGCCCCTTGATGACACAACATTGTTCCTTGCTGACTTACTTGTAGACTGTTGAACATTTATATCATGTATTTGGAGATACAATTCTATTTCTATAGAAACACTGTATTGTATGTGAAGGCATATTGTTTCATATATCCATTCTTGTTGATGTTTCCATGGATGTTCATCATTCACAAGTTGTAAAAACAAAAACAACCAACTCCCCTTTCTTGCTCTGATTTTTATTTTGCTGTTTAACCAATGGAACAAAAGCTTTCTTTATAAATGTCACCCAAAGCGATGTGAGTTCTGTGGAACTGTCACAGAAAAAAAAAACATTATATGTGTGTAATGTCTGTGTTTTGTGTGTTCAAATAAAGTTTATTGAGGTAGAGGCATATCCCGTAGGATTGTGTTGTCCTGTGGTGTAGGGTGCAATACAGAAGAAAGCATACAAAATGGGAGGGGAAGTGGATAAAGTGTATGGACAAAGAACATCCAAGGGGGGGAAAAACCTTCTATAATCTTTTTCTGAAGTACCCTTTTCAAGTTTTTTCTAATTCTAATCAAACAAGGGAACTTACTGGCAGAAAATCACAAATTGAGACATTCCAATGGAGTCTAAAAAAACAGAAACAAATTCAGAAGCATCTTTTCTTTTGTCCCAAATATTTTGGTTTGCTTATTGCCAGATATTATCTACATTGTTATCACAATCAATCAGCTTAAGGGGATTTTTGTTTTAAAGATGCATGCCTAGTAGGAAGGGCAAAAAGGCAATGGGAAGAGATTTTTTTTGAAAGAAAAAATGTTGAGAGATAATGGCCACAAGCAATATAGGGAAGTAATGAACAAACTTTTGCTATTGAGCATTATCCAATATTTCATATTTTACTATTTCATTACTGTAAGATCCTTTCTGGAATTGATTTCCTTTCCCCAGCTTCACCCTGGCTGAATTTTTTAGAGTAATAGAATTAATTGTAGTTATTTTTTCTAAACTTTGTATTAGAACGTTGATTTTCATCCATTATCCGGGCCAATGCCGAAAGCTTGAAAAATTCCATTTACAGATCTGTGAATAAAAATGATTGGCTTATCTTTTAAAAAAAAAAAACAAAAGCAAAAAGTCCTTCCAAGGACTGAATGTGCTGATTCTGAAGTAGATGATATCATTCACTTTAGTTGTCATCCACATAGTTGATTCTGGATCCAAATCACAATATGTGTTATTTATTTCCTTGAGGATTTAGTTCACATGTTTCACTGCAAGAAGGCAAACTCTTGCATAAAAATCTCACATGGCAGCTTTACATTCTGTGTCTCCTTGCTGTGGGGTTAGTCATTTAGCTGAACTGTTTGAGTGCTTTCAAATAAACAGCCATCCTTGGTGAACTCCCTAAAGAAGCCTAGGGATGCTAGAAACAAAATACAAGACTATGGGATATTTTTAATTGATCATGGAATTTCCATTTACTCAATTGATTTAAAATATGAGCTGTATATGTGCATTAAAAATATGGAAAGTAAGATGTAATGGGGAGCTGAAGAATGCACATCTCGGGACATTGAAAAGTGCTTTTTTTTCCATTAAGACTGATACAATTATACCCAAAATTATACACATAAGTGCTATCTTGCTTGCAGAGTATGTATGATGTTCCAAAACTGCTGTACCTTTTCAACTTGAGATAGCAGAGGTTATGTTGTCAAACTAACTACAGCTTTAGGAAATAAGCATTATTGCAATTAACTATAAAAATTCCACCATAAAAATACAGCTTGAAATTATGCCTTTATCACACGTGCTGCGATTTATTTTATTTTTTTTGCTTAAAACTGAATTACTTAGTGCTGAGTGTCTATGATGCTAGGATATTAACATGCTCCTGCCCTCCCAAGCCTTCTATGATGTAGTTGCCCTGTTAGAGTTGAATAGCAATTCTGGATGGAGATTCTGGGTTAGGAAAACTGGTTTTATGGCATGTTCCCTATTGTGAATACCAAAGTTTTAGACTGAGGTCAATGGTGTGGAACAGAATGAGCTAAAATGATTTATGCCTCTGATGTGAGACCCTGCAGGACCAGTGATTCCATTCATCATTTCAGCCTATGAAATATTGTGAAGTGTATATTTTTTAAACATGAGATAGGAATATGCTTGAGCTTAGACAAAATAAAAGTGGAGGACTTCCCAACCACAGGATATTTTTCTGGGGTGCTAAAAGGTAGAGCAATGAATTTGGATATTTACGAACAAAAATGCTGTGCATTATGTCGCCTGGTGTTTTTTTGCTATCATTCTCTGGGTATATATACATACATACATTCTCTCTCTCTCTCTCTCTCTCTCTATCTATCTATCTATCTATCTATCTATCTATCTATCTATCTATCTATC